CAGTTTGACTTCATTTAGTGTGGCTCAGCCCCGAAGCAACTGTTTTATGACTCATTGATAAGCGCTTGGAAACGACACGAAAACACAGCAGAAAAAAAATACAAACAAAACGTAATACAATGAAATGTGCGATTCACAATTAGTTGACTAGAAAATACCCTATAGCCACTTTTAGTAATAGTTATAGAGGTCTGAGATAAAAGTCGAATATAAACAAAATGCGGTTCACCTAAGACATAGCCTAAGTAATAAATTCTATATGCATGTATATAATTAAAGCTATCATTAATCTTTTTTCAAGGAACATTTTTGATGTCAATAATATTTCATTACTAATTTAGTATTATATAGTTTCTAAAGTTTGCTAATTTGCATAACTCTCTACAGACTAAGTCGTCAATAAGAACATGCCCGAGTCTCACTCAGAGTACTGTGTGCTGATAAAAAAAGCAAACCAGTTTTAACATGTGAGTAAATAATACAAATAATACAAATAAAAAACAGTTCGTTTGGCCTAACGGATATTTGTTTTTGCATCAAGCAAAACTGTTACCAAAATGATGCAAAATAAATATTTTTCAAATGGGAAATATCGTGGAGAACTACTAATATATAATTATCAAACGTAATACACGACTGTCTTGCATAACAAATGCACAATTTATAATCGTATGCAATGCAACTATTTCCAATCTCTTATCAGCTGCGTGCATTGGAAGCTGAGTAAAAATTCCATATAAGATCACTTACCTTGTGGGATGACGTGCATCGAAACCGGAACGTGCCAGCGTCTCATCATCATTGGCAAACAGTTCACGGCCGCAGTCAGGGAAATCCCGTTTGAATAGAAAGAACTGCATCTTGGAACGTGAGCTGCTGGTAAAAGGTACCAAATGTTTGAAGAACTTCTTCCAGAATGGATAGTCCAGGTACTTATTCGATTTGGTTAACTTGTGATCACAATGATCTTCCTCAGGTAGCTCGGTAGTGGCAGCTTCATTCGAAGGTGCCGCTAATTAATTATTTTTAGAAATTTGTAAATAAAGCAGACATATATATATAGAAAACATTATAACCTACCAACAACTATGTTAAGAGCAGCTATCACAACAAGTACGATCGTAAGCAAGCGCATGACTATTTCTTTGTAACACTCGAATAGTTATAGAAATAATGCGTAAGCCTTCGCCTACGTACGTTGCCCCAATAGAGACCAATTTAGCAGCTCCGTAGCGCTCAATGGTGCTTGCTCAACTAACGTCTGATCGACTGACTGACTGGCAGACCAGCTCACGAGCGCATGAGACAGAAAATAACACTTTCATCTAGAGATGGATGTGAGCTCTGATTGCGTGACACGGAACAGTACGAAAAATGAAGTTCGAAGAGCTCAACGTGTAATCGGAAAATTATGGAATAATTTTGTAATAGGATTATATTTACATATAAAATATGGTGAACATAAATAATAATATTATCAAGCCTTATATACATATAATATGATTAATAATATATTTTTAAGATTAATGGACAAGCATTATCCCAAAGCATAATATTTGAATTTTATTCGATCCAAATTTCATTTTTTATTCCAATATTAGCCTGGTTACATTATCCGTTTCTTATTTTATATTCGTAAAAAAAACTTCTTTGGAAATATATGTAATAAATAATCAACGATGTTCATCGTGTATCAGTTCAAGCACGATCACATATCAAATTCGAGCCGATCGGCGTCTTCGTGTCTGTGCTCTCTCCATCAGAACTCTAGAGATAACAAACAGCGCAACAAAAGCAGAGAGCTCGAGAGGGCGCCGGGTATTTAACATTGGCGTTAATTATTTAATAAACACTTTTAGCTAATCTCATTCTAATGTGGGAGTAAGGCAGAGAGCGAAAGAAAGATAAAGGGGAGAGAGAGCACAATGGCACATGCGTATGACAAACATTAAACTAATAGCTGAACTTGAATTTGTGTGCTTAAGTATGTACGTCACTATGTAGTTCCCCTATAATTATTGTGTAATAATAAACTATAATAATAAGCTATGTGGAAAATGCGTTTCACTATATATAAATTTACTTCAATCAGTTCCCGATTAAAGCGCTTTTAAAATCAATATTTTAGGATAAGCTATAAATATTAGTACTTTTGGGTGTAAAGAAAAATCAGGCAAACAATATTTAAAAATTTTGTTTAAAAATTTATTATTTATAATTCCTAAGGGAATTCTTGTATAGGATATTTATTTTAGTTATTATATAGAAACTCATCAAATAATGAATTTTCTTAATATTAATTGTTGATATGAAATGTCGAATTATAAATATGCCAAAAAGGCTGTTAAACGATCAAATTGAATATATTTCGTACATATATTCTCTTATATTCATATATGTATATAGATATATAATAATAATATAATAATGAATATAATAATAAACATGACTTAAGGCTTAACCGATATTTAGCCGTAAGCTAAAAAAAATAAAAAATAAAAAAAATTTTTAATCTGCTCAGTAAATGCTCTTATATGATACAACTAAACCGTAATTTACCCTTATTAGCTGGAAGATAACCTATACGACAATAAATTCAAAAGTTTGACGCCTTTTGGCAGCTGTGCGCCCGGGGGTAACAAATAATTAGTAGAAAATTCCACTCAGGGACTCTCTGTTATCGGCTAATTGCTTGGCTCAAATCAGATTTGTGGGACACCTGATTATGGGTGCCGGAGCATAATAATTTATTTATGAGACACCAAATGAAGCGACAAATTTCAGGCACTTAGCAAGTCAATCGCTCAGGCGCCGAGCCCGAGTTGTCGACGATGTTTCTGCCGAAGTGGGCGTGGCAAGTTTTCAGCACTTTGGTCACGGACCCACACACAGAGAGAGAGAGAGAGGGAGAGAGAGAGAGAGGGAGAAAGAGAGATGGCACACCTGGCGAACGTGAGGCGGCATTTCAATTATGCAAATTTCGTGAGGCTCGTTGATTAGAAAATCCGCAAAAACCCTTGAGCACTTGAGCAGTTAAGATGGGACGACGATGCCTCTACACCTCAGCCCAACTTCAGGCGTCAATCAATATGCCGATGCGCAGCCGAGTCTCAGTTTATTTGACGCCCACGCTAATGAATTGGAGCGAAGCAGCAATTAGACTACAGGAATTAATTGGCAAGCCTGCGGCTGGGCGGGAGCACTAGCCCTAGAGCAGCTGCAGGACACTTATTGAGCATTTGGATGCCCAAGTGGTAGACCCACTTGTGCGTCCTCGCAGCGAATTAAAATAATTTTGTTTCGTGTCCCCCTCCTCTACCACCAGAAAAAAAATTTACTGCACTTTTGGCGCATTTTACTCTTAACTTTGTTCGCTCGAGTGTCACAAAACTTTTGCCCGCAGCTCCTTTGTGCCACTGACAAGTGGGCGAACAGGGGTCGGAAAGTGCCGTTTCGGCAGGCAGTGGAATCCAGTAGAACCCGGTAGCAGAAGCAGCAGTGGGAGCTTAGGGCTTTACTTACACCCAAAAGTCGTTTGTCATTAAAAGCATTCGACTATAAATTATATTTCAAACAAAAGGCAAAAAGCAAAATTTGAAAAGTAACGGTTCAGCACGTGACCTTATTTAGGGTCACAGCGAACATTTGTTCTTTCAAAAGAAACAATTTGTTGTTGTTTTTATATATATATATATATATAAGTGGAAAATAATTTAGTTATAGTTGTAGACATGAAGCATAAAATATTAATTATAATAAATTCAAGCCAATATAATTAGAAATCTTCAAGTAAACCAATTTTCATATACAAATACATACCTTTTAATTTTTTAATGACTTTTATTAATGTAAAATTGAAATTTTTATATGTATATACACACATTCTATACAAAATGAACCCGTCCTCAGGACAATTTGATACTTTATTAAAATTATACAAAATTCTATAGCTTAAACAATATGCAAATCATTCGCATGCCTATGTTGCCCACTCTGCCCATTTGTTGGCCAACATCCTTTTGTAGTTCTTGTTCCTGCTGTCAATGCGGAAACTTTTCACAATGGACGCAACGAAAAAGTTTTGGACTTGAACCCAAAAACTATAAATCCGTAACTAACATTTTTAAGCATAACAAAATACGACGAGATTTGTCGAATAAATCTTAATGCTGCCTTTTTTGGTTTATTCAGCCGTTGCACTGGTCTCTTATTATAAACTTGCTCGGGGCGGGGTGTGAGAGGCGTTGCGTTGCCGGAGTAGATCCTGGCAGAGCAAAAGACAAGGGCTTCGCTCTTTGGGTTTTCCGGTTACGGCGACTGCAACTTTTCTGATTGACTTAATGCAGTTGGCAACTGCACAGTAAAAGTGTTGGCAGCACTATATTTTCACGGCTAGGACTTGCACCAAAGAATTATGTTACACGAAAACTTTCAACATTTGCCAAGCGGTCGCAAGCTGCGGCTCACAGCTTCGACACAAATCACTTGGTTAATTAATGTTGAGATTAGATCCAAAAAAAAGTAAATATTTTTTTATTTATTTTTTTTTTTTTTTTTAGAATTCTTTTATTGCAGCTTCTTGTCTTAGACTATACAGCGCAGACATCATTAAACCTTAACTTAAATTATGGGCTAAAAGCCAGTATTTACACTATTTACAATATTTTTACAATACAATTTTTAACAACAAGAAAAGCTGCAATAAAACCATATTAAAAAAAAATAATAATAATAATAATAATGTATGTATTTTTATAAGCATACTTTTAGGAGGGCTTAAAGTTGAAATGAAACACAAATGAAATTAGTAAAAGTCTTTAAAAAATATATATAAAATATTATAATATTGTATATATTAGAGAAAATATGAAAAATAGTTTACTAACGTGAAGGTTTCTAATTTTGTGTTTTCATTTCATATTTTGTAATTCACAAATAGTTTTGATAATAGCTAAATTTGTGTTTCTGGTTCTGATTCCAGTCAATCAATTCAATAATCTTTGATACATCCGGCGCATACATTACTTTGATTTACAACTCTCAATAGAAATTTCTAATAGAGAAATAATTAAACACGCTTTAGAATCGAATCGAAAATTTTTAGTTTTCTTTTTCAATTTGTTTTGTAAATTTCATAGCCCTGCACTAGTAGCTGGTGGAAATGTGGAAATGGACATGCCCTTAAGTGGTAAACTGGCTATTGTTGCTGCCACAGCCGGTACATTCTTTGCCTTGGGCGCCTACTATCAGCACCAGCATGTGATCCGTAATATTAAGACATTGGAACAGCACAATCCGCATGCCTATTTCATACGGCGCAAACTTTATGGCCTGGTAAAGTGCCCCGCCCCTGGGCAGCCTGTTTCCGAAAATTTAATACTGAGATTTACCTATATTTCAGCTAGATATCTTTGATGTGAAGGCGTTCAACGAATATTGCGATGTTATTGCCGATAGTGAATCGCACCAGATGGGCTCCATTATGAAGTATGGATTCCCCAGCATGAACGAGATCAGTCTAAATGAAACTTTCAACTTTGTCACCTCGTTCGATCGTCGTAACTCAGCCATTCAATGGATGTGCGAACGTGTGGATGTCTCTAGCTATACAAATGCTATTGGCCGGGATTTTCGGGATCTTGCGGTGCGGCATCGCTCACGCTCAGTCCCGCCGTGTGGCATCTTGTATCAGCAATCGGAGGCGGCGCGTGTCTTCTTCATGTCGAACATCAAACCGTTTCTGAGTCGCGGCTTCAATGCGACCATCTGGGAGCGATTGTTGCACTATGTACACAGCATGACCGAAAAGTACGGCATTATTTTTGTATATACCGGATCCATCTACTTGCCACGGGAAATGAACAACAATTGGTACTTGGAATTTCAGCCAGAAGACAATACCATTGTCGCGATACCCACGCACTTCTTCAAAATCATCATCATCGATCCAAAGGAAGTCAATGGTACACCGTATGCAGAGGCCTATGTAATGCCCAATACAACGCTTAATGATGACACCGACCTGCATACGCTGCTCTGCGATGTGCGAGACATTGAGAATGCGACGGGTTTGAAATTCTTTGAGGGTCTCGATCGCAACTTTGTCAATACCCAAGTGGATGCGCCAATCGCACGGGACAACTCATTAAGTCAATTAAGTGATACGCCGTTATGATTGTTAGTTATTGGCAGAGGGCGCGGGTCCTAAGTAATTTGCGGAAATTGTCCAAATTTTTCAACTGTTGTCCATTTTTTCCTCAATTTCTGTTATCTATGTAATCAAATTTGTTAAATCACATATGTATATTTAAAATTTTTACAGTGACTGACATATTTAGAATTAATAAATATGTATTAAAAAGCTAAAAACCAAAAAGATAAAATCATTCCACACTTACGCATACTTAAACTTGCAAAAATATTCAGTGCTTAAAAAATATAAGAAATAAAATATATTTGAACACTTGGCCGTTAGCTTTGCTCAAGCGAAAATACATAAATGCGAGTGCGCGACGAAGAATTTTAATGGGCAAAAATGGACCTGGCAGCAAGTTCAGATTTCAAATATGACTCATTATGTCTGTTCATACAATGCCAATATTCACTGGATCCCCCTTATTAATGGTTTACGAGCACTGTTAAATGACTCACATGACTACGTAAACAACAGTGGCGTTAAATTTAATGTTAACGAAAAGCTCTGTTAATGCGTCGCGATTTAACAGTGGACGTGTAGTCGATCAACATGAATTCGCGCGCACAAATTTTCAAAAACGGGTGATTTTAACAGTGCCAAATGGAGCGTAAGACAGCTAAGCATATATGTATATGCATACACACATATTCATTTTAACTGTGACTTTTAACAGTGTAAGTTGGGTACCGAGGCAAGCTTCGCTGACAAATTTAAACAGAAACAGAAACTAAGTTACGAGTGGTTATGACAAATAAATTATTATAACTACTATTTCCAAATAGAAAATACAAATTTCAAAAGAATATCCATTGCAATGGCAGAAAAAACGGTGGTACATCTAGCTTGCTATAAAGACATAGTAAGTGATATTAACGTGAAATTGCAAAATATTAATGTGCATAACGTGACGACATATGACGTGGACGAACGAATACTTAAAACTCCAAAAAGCATTGGCTTTTACCGTCAGCCCAACCCTGATGAATATCCAATCGACTTGGCCAAGGGCTATCAAGATATGATCTTTAGCATATCTGATCCTGATCATTATCTGAAACAAAAAACATTGCACTACATCATGTCGCAAAATCAACGACCAAAATTTGATATTTGCACAGCTCGTGGCGCTCTAAAAGAAATTAATTACGGCCGCAATACAGATTTTGCGGCCATACATTTTAAGGATTGTATTTATATTAAGTCTATTAAAAATGCAGTAAATCCCTCACCACGTGAAAGTTATCAATATGAGCTACGCAAGAATTTATTTGTTGGTAAGTTTACAAGGGTTCCAATGTCAATAAAAAAAAAATTAAAAAAAAAAATATATATATATATATATATTGGTCCATCCTAGATACGCCAGGTGATCTACCCGATGTGGAGCAGAGGCTTGACCAGCGGAAGCAAATCTATGCAAACTTCAGCGCGCATCTGGGAATATTTAGGATACTTTACTCGGCTGAAATGTCGGGCGTGGATAATACAGAGCCGCTTGGCGATTTGTAAGCACTTTCACAAACTATCAAAGAGCTTTTGTACTACTTCATACACGTTTAGAAACGATCCTGACGTACTTAAGCAGCTGCGCTTTACAATGGCCAAAGTTCGTCAGATGAAAAACGGTCCCGACTATACACGGGAGAAGAATATTGAACCTGAGTGGCTCTTTCAAGCCCATTTCGTCGGCATCAAGCAGCTCAGATTGGCGCACTTCAATGAAAAAGCCCTGGTAACACAGCCAATTGAAACAATTCAAATTTCTGACTTATATAAGGTAACCATTTCTACGGTTTTTGTATTTATGCAAAAGCCAAAAGTCACACAATTATTTCGCCATTGCAGAAACATGAATCTAAATTGAACAAGCGTCTGCAACTGCTGCACAGTCTTCTCTGCAAGATCAAGAATCTGATGGCTGACGACGACTGTCCATACACAACCTACGTATTTCGCGTAAGAAACAATCGCATTTCGTATGAGCGTCATGTGGGTCAAAACAAATACTGCTTTCTTGACGAAGAATATATTCAATTTGTCAATGAGCAGTACAAGGATTGATAAGCTAATGCTATATATACATACATGCATACATACCTAAGACTTTTGATTTACATTTCTTACTACATATACATATGTCTTATTCGCTCCCAAAAAAAAGTTGCTGTACGAAAACATTATTGGTACACTGTATGCATGTAGTACATATTTGCTCGGCTAGGACGCTTAGGGTCGAGCACCGAAAATAGAGCACGCTGCTAGCGTTCAAACGAAATGGGCCCGTCCGTATCTGAAGCACACCTTTGAGCTTAATTGTGGAAAGTTAATGTTAATGATTTCATTTAGATTTGGCAACAAAGAAAATATTTTTCGCCAAAGCAATTAAATCATATTTCACATTGCAAACGCAGCTAAGCGTATTTGGCAACGTTTTTTTTTAAACAATTTAAACACATTGCGCCGAAATAAAATACTAGAATATTAGCATAAGCTATCGTTTATGAGCAACTGGTCCCGTGAGTTGACAAAAGATCACAGCTACGGTATCGATGTCATAAAATTGAATATTTGTACAGCGAATGCGTTATCCACAACTTTGAAGCTAAAATACGTAGCTGGATTTGTCATATCGCTATGGTTGGTGATCATATTCATTAACAAAAATGAAAATACTCCTGAAAAGAGGTGGTACAGCAAGTGTCTGGCATCGTTGAGCACAATTTTTGGTATTTTTGCCAATCTGGCAACACCTCTAGCGCATTTCAATAAAACGGCGCAACAAATTGTTATTATCAAAGCTGTTTACATTTGTTAAGCGTTTGCCATGTCGCGTTCCCAGTCGACTGAAGATACAGAATGCCGATGTAGCTATTGCCAAGCTGCTATAGAGGATGACAACTATTTGGATTGCCAGAAATGTGAGCAGAGCGTGCACATCAAGTGTCTGCCACATGCCAGCACGCCTGGCGATTTACTGGGTGATGTCTTCTTCGATTTCACGTGTATTAAATGCGTACGCAACGAGCCAGACGCAGGCGAAGTAGTACCCAAGGAGCGCTTTGTTCGACAGCGCATACCCTGGCTATTAGTGTTGACGCTGACACTCTATAATTTATCAATTAAATCGAAGGGCTTGAGCCATCACGGATATTTTCACTGGCGGACGCACATCATCAGCTTTGTTGACAAGAACTGGAACTACATTTTTGAGCCACGCGTGTGAGTGAATTTAGTTTGGTGGCAGATGAAAATCAACGGCTTATTGATAACTATAACCAACAGACGTCGTCGCAAGCAATGGGCAGGTTCCGTTTCGGGCGCTTTGTCCCACAACAGCCCAGAGTATTTTCAGTCTGGTGTCAGTGTGTGCCTGGAGCATGGCTGGTGGCGACTGGCTAAACCGAATTTAACGCCACGCAGCGTGCGCGCTGAATGTAAACATATTTTATACTTCGAAATCAGTACGAAGTGTTCATGGAATTATATCTTTTCAGATGAGCAGCGACTGTTAGAACGTCAGCAGCTCCGCACGGATCGTCGCTTGCCAGCACTGGATGAGACCAGCTGCAGCAGCGATTTATCTGTCACGGATCATTTGAGCGATATCCAACCAAACCATACCACAACGGAGGAAATTGCAGAAGGTTTGCCGCCGGCGCCACCCAGCGAGGGCTGTGCGCGTGCCATGTGAGCAAAGATTAATTTTAGAATTTCGTACAGAAATTTATAAAATAAAACAAATATATCTTTTTGGTAGTCCGTACATGGGTCGCCTACCGAAGTTCCCAATCGTGGGGCAACCAGCTGAGCCACAGCAGCAGGAGGAGCCCGAGGAGCTGCAACAGTCAGGGGAGTCAGAACCGGCAGCATTGTTACCGTCGTTAAGCAGCGTTCAGGCAAGCCTGATGGATTTTCTGGCCGAGAGCTTGGGTGGCGATGATCTGAGCATGTTTATGCCACCTCCGTTGATTGGTGCTGGCTGCAAAGGGGACTTTTTCATGTCAGATGCGCTGCTGGAAGCGCCGCTCGAAGTACCACTGGAAACGCCCGGTACCGGCCTGTTTGACCTGGAACATAATTTTGTCTTGCCGCCAACAGAGTCTGTGGTGACTACAGCCGAAACGGAAACGAAGATGGAGAGACAAACGGAAACGAAGGCAGAGATAATGCCAAAGGTGGAACAGCAAAAGCTATCGTCTAGCAGCTCTGAAAGCGAAGAGGAGCCCATGGAGACAGAGCAGCAGACGGAGGAGAGCGACGCGTATCAGCCGCGCATAGTACAGGTGACGAATTATCAGGCACAGGAGCAGCAGCAACAGCAGGAGGCGTCACAAGTCAAGGAAGAGCCACTAGAATCGAAACAAGAGCAGGATGATCTGGAGCTGGAGACAGAAGTAAAAGGCAACATCAATCTGGAGCCTTGTAAGCCAAGCGGCTTTATAAGGCAGCCGCGTCGAAACTGGCCCTGGCTGCAGGAGACGGCAATAGAGCCGGTCTCGCATCAGGAAAGTCCGCAGCAACAGCTTCGTCCAATGACTCTAAATGAGGAGCAACAGCTCTATCAGCAACTGCACAAAATGTTCATGCTTGACCAGCACCGCCAGAGCGATATACCCGCCTATGTGCGCCGGCTCTACCGCAAGCTGAGCGTGCGGAAGTGGAAGCGGGAGCATAATCGACCCATATTCAATCTGGATGAGCACATTGATCCCATGGCACGTACCCGTCTGCAGCTGGCAAAGCAACAGGCGCAAATTTTAGATCGCTATCAGCTGCTCGAGCAGGGCCATCCAAACAACCGCAGTTCCTTCTATGCCCGCATTGTCGGCAGCACCGAATACGAACTCTTCGAATCGCCATACACGCAGCGTGTCCTGCATCCGTTCATATATCGCAGCCAGAGTATGGGTCCACCTTGGCTGCGTCTGATGTGCGAGCTGCAGCATCGCGTCAATCGATGCTATCCCAGCCGCTCCACCATAGACTTCTGCTACGTGCGGCCGCAACATATACCGGCAGTCAATGCGCTACTTCAGAGCGTTTTCTGGCCGGGCATCGATGGTGAGTTGGTGTTGTTAGAGTTGCTCTAGTACCTAACTTAATCTCCATGTTTGTTGCAGTGAGTGACTGCCTCAGCTATCCGGACTACAGCGTGGTCGCGCTCTATAAAAAACTGGTCATTGGATGTGGATTCCTGGTGCCGGATGTGGGCTACAATGAGGCGTATATTTCCTTTATGGCTGTGCGCCACAATTGGCAGCGTGCTGGAATAGCCACTTTTATGCTGTACCATCTCATTCAGACCTGCATGTCCAAGGATATTACGCTTCATGTCTCCGCCAGCAATCCGGCAGTCATGTTGTATCAGAAGTTTGGCTTCAAGATTCAGGAGGTGATCCTCAATTTCTACGACAAGTATTTACCTATGGACTCCAAGCAGAGTCGAAATGCATTCTTTTTGCGATTGATGAGATGAGCAATCTGAGCATTCCCCAAAGCCAAAAGTTGCAAAAAAGAAATAAAAACAGTAAAAACCGACAAAATATTATTAATGGATTTTTCTTTTCTTGCCAACCTTTGGACTTTTTGTTTTTAATTAATTTATTATTAATTAATTAATCCAGAAAAACTTCGATACCAGTTTCTTTAAAATCTTAGGCAAATATTTTCTCCTCGCGTCGTTTCTTAGTGACCACTGTGCCGGGTTTGTGCTGTGCCTCGGGGTGATTCATGAGCTCCGGCGGACACACGGACACGGGACTGGCTGTGACGCACTGCTTTAGGTCGTAGAACAGACTGCTGTCGTCCTTGGTAACAAAGGATATGGCAACACCCGTCTTGCCCGCGCGACCTGTACGTCCAATACGATGCGTATAGTCCTCAATGGACTTGGCCATGTCATAGTTGATGACCAGCGATACGTCTTTGATGTCGATACCACGACCAGCCACATCAGTGGCCACCAGTATATCCTTGGCCCCAGACTTGAGCGCTGCCAATGCATATTCACGCTGCTCCTGCCCTTTGCCGCCGTGCAACGTGCAGGAGTTGTACCCGAGCTTCTCCAATCCCTTGGCCAGCACATCGGCGCCCTTCTTCTGGTTGACGAATATGATAACTGGTGGCTCAATGCCGGCCGACAGGATCTGCATGAGCTTCTTGCGTTTGTCATTCTCGCCCATCATGTAAACGATTTGGTTGGTACGCTCCGTCGGCTTACCCACAGAACCGATATACACCGTGGCCGGACGACGTAAATAGGAGCGTGCCAAACGCTCCACAGCTGGCGGCATTGTTGCCGTAAACATCACCGTCTGCCTGTACTTCTTCTTTGTGTAGAAGTTCTCCATTAGTTTCTTCTCGTCCTCGGCCTCCTCCGTGTCGGGTTTCAGATTTGTCACCGGCATATATTCCAGAATCTTTTGTACGTCCGGCTCGAAACCCATGTCAATCATGCGATCTGCTTCATCGAGCACAATGTAGGTGCACTGATTGAGCACCAGATACCGATTCTCGAGGACATCAATCAGACGACCAGGTGTGGCGATAACTATTTCGCAGCCCAGACGCAAGCGGAAGCCCTGCTCCTCCCTGGACAAGCCACCAACGACGACCACAGTGCGTATTCCCAGTGGCTGGCCAAACTTGATTGTCTCCTCCTCAATTTGCTGGGCCAATTCACGCGTGGGCGCCATAATAATTGCATAAGGACCCTGATCCACATCCTCCAAACGCTCGATCTTGGGCAGTGACTGAATCCACGAAAGCAGCGGTATAAGAAACGCCAAAGTCTTGCCAGAGCCGGTCTCGGCAACGCCAATAATATCGCGATTCTGCAGGCCAATGGGTATAGCCTGTCGCTGGATGGGCGTCGGCTCCTTGTAGCCGACCGAATCGATGATTTCAATAATTTCAGGCGGGAAGCCGGACTCGCTCCAGCTGCGAATGGGATTGGGTATTTTGCCGCCTTTAATGGTAATGTTGTAGTCCTCACGAAAGATGCGCCAATCGCGCTCGGTCATCTCGTCGTTGTCCTTCTCGGACCAATGGCGATCATCCCATTTTTGTTTATCCTCCTTGCGCTTCATCTTCTTCAAGCGCACTTTCTCCTGTTCCTTTTCGGCTTCGGTGCGTCGCTTCTCCAGCAGATCGCCATAGAATTTGCTCTGTGTGCGCTTTTGCTCTTTAATGTCGATGCCAGCCACATTGCCGCGCCCGAAGAACTGCACATGATGGCGCTCCTTATACAAGTTATTGTAATCTATGGAGGTGTCTTCTCCCGCATCCCAGTCGAAGACGAATTTGCGGTCGTTGAGGCGGCGCACTCGTCGCTTCTTTTTCACAATGCCAAGATAACGTTCACGTATGGCTTCCAGTTCCTTTTCCTTATCCTTGTGCGTTAGATCCTCAACACGTTTGCTATCCTTGTCGCGATCCCGATCCCCGCCACGTTCACCTCGATCTCCTCCACGATCACGACGTTCCGGCTT